CAGTTTGATTCCTGCCCTTGTTAACATTGTTACAATGTATAACTTACTAAAACACATTTAGTTGAAAGTTGAAAGGTGAGGAGTATAAAATATAAGCTACAAATGCCATGGCACACAAATAGATAAAAATACCAAACTACAAGGGGAGATACAAAATGCGCACACACAAATTTTAAAACACAGTTCCTTATCTTAAAGTGAAAGAGAGAAGAAAGAAGAAAAGGTAGAAAAAGAGCAACATATCCATAGAGGGGAAAGCAAATGCAGGCAAGAGAAAAAGGGGGCTTTCTGCTACACCTGGAGTGGGCCAGGCTGCAGCCCCTGCACCACCTCTTCCAGAACCTGGCTCTATTCCCCTCACCTTTTCATTTATGCACTTCTTGTCTGTGGCCCCAGCAAGTCCCAGGACCTCCTGGTCAACCTCCTCCTGGCCCTGGCTAAGCTGGTAAGATACACAGGTATCTTACCAGAAAGGAGGCTCTGGCTGCAAGGGTCCCCACAGACTGCAAAGCCCCTTTTCTTTCCCCACTATGTTCCCGTGTCCGGGCAGAGTATTACTGGGCAGTGTCCACTGGTCCTTGGATTCGCTTGAGGGGCATGGGCGCTGTCCAAGGTGCCCCCCCCCCGGCATACCACTTATTAATTTTTGACCATCACTCCCATCCCTGTTTCGTTATCATTTGTCCCAGTAACCAGATGTTGTTTTTTCAGCAGCCTCCCTTAGTTTACCTAGTGGGCCTAGCCCTGTGTCATGCGGACACCTGCCCTTTTGCCAACAGAGGGGGACCCTGGCGCACATGTATCTGGAGTGCATCAGGTTGCAACTCCTCCTCTGCCTCCTCCAGAACCTCTTATTGAGGTTCTGGCTGCACTTCTCCCCTCACCTGTTTATTTATGCATGCCCTGTCTGTGGCCTCACCAAGTCCCAGGACCTCCTCCTGGCCCTGGCTAAGCTGGCTGTATATCTTACAAGGAAGAAGGCTCTGGCTAGGAGGACCCCTGGGGAATGCAGGGCCACTTTTCTTTCCCTGGTTCAATCCCATCTCCTGGCAGAGTATCACTGGTCATTGTCCACTGGCTCCTTGGACTCATTTGAGGACCAGTAGGTGCTGTCCATATGCTCTGCTCAGTGTCCCCCCCTCCCCTGCCGGCACACTAGTTTTAAGCCTCTGACTATCACTCCCATCCCTGTTATGTCTTTATCTGTCCCAAGCAATCAGTTATTGCCTACCTAACAGTCTCCCTTTCTAAGGGAGGCTTATAGTATTTCCTTGTGGGCACTGACCCAGGGTCTCTAGGCAACAAATAGGCCTGTATCATACAGACACTTGCCCCTTTTGCCTGTACAGGGAGACTGTGGCACATCCCTACCTTGAGTGCACCAGGTTGCAACCCTTTTTCCGCCTCTTCCACAACCTTCTGCTGAGGTTCTGGCTGCACTATTTCCCTCACCTGTTTATTTATGCATTCCCCATCAGAGGTTGCACCAAGTCCCAGGACCCTCCTGGTCAACCTTTTCCTGGCCTTGGCTAAGGTAGGGGAATATCTCACTAGAAAGGAAACTCTGGCCAGGAGGCCCCCCCAGGGACTTCAGGACAACTTTCCTGTCCCTGGTCCAATCCTGTCTTCAGCCAGTGTATCACTGAGCAGTGTCTACTGGCTCCTTGGACTTGTTCGAGTGCCAGTGGGTACTGTCCAGTGTGCTCTACTCGGTGTCCCCCCTGGGTGCATCAATGCTTAACATTTGACCATCACTCCTGTCCCCTTTTTCATTATTATTTGTCCCAAGGAATCTGTAACATGTCATTAGTGGCCCACATTACCAAAGGGACTTATCATTTACTTGGTGAGCCTAGGCCCACAATTCCCTTTGACATGTTAAAAGTCCTGTGTCATTCAAACACTTGTCCTTTTTTTCCAACAGAGGGAGACCCTGGCACATACCTACATTGAGTGCACCAGGTTGCAACCCTTCTACCTCCTCCAGAACCTGCTGCTGAGGTTCTAGCTGCACTTCTCCCCACACCTTTTTTGTTATGCATTTCCCATCCATGGCCCCACCAAGCCCCAATACCTCCTGGTCAATCTCCTCCCCTTGGCTCTGGCCCCCTACAAGACTGGGAAGGAGGCTTTGGCCAGGGAAAACCTGGTAGAGGGTGAGCCGGTCATCTTCTCACTCCTCTGCTCATGTCTCCAGGCAGTTTCACTGGTTGTCATCCACAGGCTCCCTTGACTCATTCAGGGAGCAGTGAGTGTTTGCCGGTTCAGCGACCTCTTCTGGATCCCTTATTATTAACTTATAACCCTTACTCCCATTCCTGTTTTCTTTTTTATTTGTCCCAAGAAATTTGTTGTTGCATTCTCAGTGGCCTCCCTTTTTAAGGGGGGTTTATAGTTGTTCATGGTGGATCTAGGTCCACATTCCCCAACTGCAGCAAATAGGCCTGTGTCATACAGTGGCAGAGAACAGATGCTGAAAGGAAGAGTCAGCTGGGCATGAGCGGGTTTTTTCTACTATTCCTCTCTCACTTCCAACCTCCAATATTTAAGATCTAGCTCTGCAGGTGGAAACAGTCTCATGACTGCTAAGATAAACCATACCAGGACCTAGAGAGGATGTACCAGCTGCTCTCTCCAGAGAACTGCATGCAGTAGGTGCTATTACAGCACCTCACCAGAAGATGGTGGGGAGCTGCTACTAGCCTGGTTGCTTTAGGAAACTGGCAGCACAGTCAGTAAAAGCAGGTGATATTAGCTACATATGTACCAGCAGAGTTCTACCCCTGATTCCTTCCAGGATCATTTTCTTACTAGATTGGGCTAAATTACCTCAATTTAGGGACTTATAGCTTCTGCCTGTCAGCCCAAGCAGAATTGTCTACCAGGGGAGTGGTGGTCTGTAGTGCTGTGGGTCTTGTATAGAAACTTGCTGTTTAACTGTTTGCTTGTCTCTATATGTGTCCCTCTCTAGGCCAGATCCCAGCCCTGCCTCCATCCCTATTATGACAACATGACATTAATGGGATAGAGGTGCTCCCACAGGGCAGTCCGGGATTTCTTCATGGAGTAGTGGAAAACCAGCAGGGCTGCCTCAGACAGTCATTCCCCCCCCAAAAAAACACATGCAATGCACTTTAGCAGGCTCTGGAGCAAACCCAGAGCATACCAGGCTTGGGTTTTCCTTTGCTAGTAGAGCACTCCATCAGGAACAACTGCCAACATCAAGGCTGGATTAACCCTTTAGTGGGCCCTAGGCAAACAAACTCATGGGCCTCAAGCCAGTCGAGACCTCCCTCCCCACCCCGGCGCTGCTGCTCAGGGGGAGTGGGGCTCCATGCCACTGCTAGAAAGCAGACACAGCAAGGCTGGCAGAGGGGAGAAGAAAGGAAGGGAGGTGGACAGGGCTATTTGCCGTAGAGGGAAGGACTGGGGCCTCCCACAGCTCAGGGCCCTAGGTATGTGCCTAGTTTGTCTATGCATTAATCTGGCCCTGGCCAGCATCACTTTCTGGTCCTCAGTCTGGCTCTGGCTGCAGTCAACTTCCCCTCCCACCTCAAGTTGTCAAGTGCATCGTGGACAAACTCAAAAGTCTAACCACTGTCTCCAATAACCCCACAACTTTGATTCCGTATTAAACAGGCTGTTGTCAATGGCACTGTTATGAGCAGGGACACAGAGATGCAGGAGGAAGCCATTT